ACTATAAAGTAAAAATCAACGTTCATTTGAAATCTCAATTATTTTAACTGTAAGCATCTATGTTTGTATTTATCGGATCAATAGTTGTATTACAATTTAATTCTCAAAGTGAATGAAGTCAAGTCCTCGTTTTTGTAAAATTAAATATTTTGTTCTTAAGTGATCTTATCATCAAATACTTTAACTCTGGGAATTTTTTTCATAAAGAGACTGTAAATTTCTTCTTTAAAAGAAATAAGTAGAAATTAATCGTTTATCACTATACATTGAGATGATAAATAGTGGTTTTCGGCAATTGAATAACGAAATTCCTTAATATGATTGGTCAAAAAGGAAGTGATTATGTAGTATAAAGAAATTTTTGTTTTGCATTTTATAGCATGTTCATAACACCAAGCCTCTAAACATATATAAAAAGATTCGTATTACATGTAATATTATCTAGTCCCATTTTATATTTGTTTAACTTCTTAACTACCTTATAATAAGAAATTTATATATCGCAGCTTCTTTTTCCAATGTTCGATGCATTGATTATTATTATAAATTTCAAGTCAAAGACCTTATAATTTGTCATTACTGATCTGATCTGAAAACTTTGAATAATTCAATCTGAACTGAAACTTTTTAGATTAATCCAAAATTTTAAGTTATTAAATACTAATAAAGTCATATCTATCAGTTCAGATATGACTTATAAGAAAAATACCTTTTAATAGTTTAGATGTAACTTTTATTAGTATTTTTCTAATAATATTCTACCTGAACTGCTAGATATGACTTTATTATACTCTGGCAGTTCAAATGCAATAATAAAAGCTGTCTTCAACTATTCAGATGTAGCTTTATTAGAAAAGTCACACCTAAAATGACAAAGAAGACTTTATTAATATTTATAATAAAGACTCTGACAATTTGGGGTTGACTTTTATTAGATTTATAATAAAAGTTGCTTCTAACAATTAAGATACATTCCAATATTTAGAGACATTTTTATTTACTAATATTTCAGAACAATCCAAAGTTTTCAGATTGAATCTAATCATTTCAGATTTTTTTCAGTTTGAATTGAATTATAATCTGAAAAGCATTTGAATTTACCTAAAATTTTTTGGATTAATTTTTTTTATAATCTAAACTGAACTGAATGAAAAAAATTTTAAATTGATTTGATTTATTTAAAAATTTACTTATAGATTAGATAACTTTTAGATATTTTTAAGATAATTTAATTATTTTAATTCTTAAATTTTTACAGAACTTACAATATTAAAAGTAAAATCAATATCAAAAATAAAGAATTTACTGCTAGATTTTATTTGTTATAATATTCTAAATTATTTACTCAATAATATACTTTTATTTTAACAAACTTTAATATATTAAGCAAAAAAGATTATAAGAATTAAAAGTAGAAGGATCACATATATTTAGCATAATACCTAGAGTTGGTAAAAATCCTAAAAAGTCCTAATTGGTCTTAAAGAATTTTAATTTATATACTATTAATTAAATTTTTTAATAATAAATTAATCTTTTTAATAAGTATTGTATATTAATTATTTTATTAATTTAAAATAAAAAAATTCTTTAAAAATAATAAATATACTTAATTTAGAACCTAATCAAAGATATTTTAAATTTTAAAAAGAAATTTAAACTTATTTTAATAAGTAACTTTAATTAAAAAATTGAATATAATGATAATATTTAAAAAAATTTAATCTTTAAAACTAATAATTTTTTTAAAATTAATGGACCAATTAGAACCAATTAGGACTTTTACCAACTCTAATAATATCTTACATAGAAGAAGATATTATATAAATAATAATAATAAAAATCAAAATCAAAATTTTATTTATTTTTATTTTTATTATATATTATTATATATAAATAGATTAATAAATATAAGATTATAACTAAATGTGGAATTATTATATAACTAATAAAATCAACTCATATTTTGAACAAGCAGACAATCAAAAATTTTGTATTATATAATCTAAAATATATATACCATAAAGCGATCTGTATAATACCCTCTATATATAGTACCTCTTCTCTTTTCAGACAGACTAGAATGTATAATATCTGAGGTATTATAAATCACGAATTTTTCTGCTCACCATATAATATTCAGATACTAATATTATATATTAATAAATTGAACGATCACACAATTACATTGAAAATATTATTTAAAATAAAATTTCATAAAAGCAATTTCTTTATTTTATTATTTATTTAACAAGCAGCTTTATTATATATTCATTAAAACATATGTATAATGCTTAATTCCATGAATTTTTATAATTTCTATATCATTAATATACATATTTTCATTAATTAAGATTTCTTCTTCAGCAGGTTTATTTTCAACATTATCTTTTAACAAATTATAATCAAAAATATAATCATTTTCAGTATTAACTTTTTCTACAAAAATGTCATAGCATTTAAATGAATTTTTAATTTTTATTTCATCAAAACTTTCCCATGCTACTTTAACCTATTGTGTAACTTATTATATGCTAGTTTTTTAATTCTACCAGTTAGTGTTATTTCATGCATTTCATTAGATATCCATTCATTGTATTGTTCACAAACCTTAATAAAATAAACAATTGCTTTAAATAAAATAATTTCAATTAAATAATATAATAAAAAAATTACCTTTGCTTTAAAACATTTATTAATTCTAACATCTAAGGGTTGTAATTTGCTAATTAATCCTTTAGGAATTATAGCAAGATTAGTGTACTTTTCATTCAATCTGTTTTTACAGAATCAACTAAATGATCGTGAAATAAGTTACATACTAATAAACTTTGTGAATTATTATTTAAGCTATCTCTATAATTTCACATATTATCGATCTACCAAAGCATTTCTTTTTCATTTATCTATTTTTTTTATTGACCCAATTTTTATACCAACAGAAATCTTTTATGAGGTATATTTTTTAATTTGAAAATTATAATAGATTCTAATTTTGTTCCATCTGACATACAAGACAAAATAACTGTAAAACAATTTTTTTCATGTCTTGTTGATCAAATACTAACTGTTCTAACTCCTTTTTGTTCAAGTGTAGTTGAAGATAGCAAATTAAAACTAAGAAACGTTTCATTTATTTTACCAATCAAGTTAAGTAGATAATTATATTGAATCTAATGATAAAGAATAAAACTTAAAAATAAATGCTGTTTTTCAATTAAATCTTCAGGTATTTTTTGTGAAATTATGGTTCTTCTTCTGTTTGACAAATTATATCAATTAATAAATCCATCTAACCATTTGTTAGAAAATTTGAAATTATTGATTGTTATATAAATCTACTTTATTTTAGCAGTTGTTGCAAATTTCTTAGTCCTTTTAATTATCATATTATGAGTTACAGTATTGCTTACTTCTCTTAAACTTTGAACCTATTCAAAAAATGCTTTTTCTAATTCAAGTAATGCAGCTAATCTTCCAGAATATAAATTTTAAGTATACGAGCTAAAGCTATTAGTTCTTTTTTTTGGTTTGCCCAATACCTAATTTATTTGATCTCAATATCAAATATTTTTGCAGCCTACTTTTTACTAAATTTTTGAAAATATTGTAATATCATTAATTTTTCACATGTGCATCATTGTCTCTAGAATTTTTTTGTAGCTTGTATTTTTTTACATTTATTTTCAATTATTATTATATTTTTAAATATAGATTAAAATAAAATTAAATATAAAAGGGCAAAAAAAGTACCTTTATATATTTTATTAAAAAAAATATTTTTGACAAATTTTATAAATCTGAAAAAAATTTTTTGACAAAAAAAAATTAAATTGATAATCAATCATTTATTTTTTACAAGTATACACTATATATAGTACCTCTTCCAATCACAGTATTCCCTAGTATAGTATCTTGCAATATTTAGTAGAATATAAAATTCTCAAGTACTATACAGAATGCTTTACGGTAGTCTTCATTTTACTTTAGATTATAGAAATAAAAAAGTATTAGTAGATATTACCTTAATTAAGAATTTTTAATAAAATTTAATAAATGCTAAATATTTTATAAGTCTCTTTTATTACTTTGAAATTATTATTAAATTAAGCATCAGAATCTGAAAGTAAGATAGGATTTTGCTTATGATTCTATTTTAATATAATTTTTTCAAATATTAATTTTTTATTATCTTATTTTATTAAAAAAACTAAATATTTTTCTGAAATATAAGCAAATTTCTGTTTCTTAAATAATTTTTCCAGATATTTTAAAAAATATTTGTATAAATAACTATTTATTATAGTGAATATTAAAATTGGAAAAATTCTAATTAAATATTATACACTTATTAAAAACTAATCATAAAATTTAAGATAGTAAACAGGTAAGGTAATCCTAATCCTAAATAATAATATATTTCAAAAATACTTTCCAGTTTCTATTTATTTAGTTATAAATTGCTTTAATAAATAATTTGAATAAAAAGTTGGTCATTTTTTTGCAGTTTTATGTTAAAATCCTGAAAAGTTACCCTCTAATGAAATTTCTAATGAGTAAAGATAAAAGATAAGATTTTACATATATATAAAAAAGACTGCTTTAAGAATTTTATTTATTCATAAAGATAATTTTAAAGAATTTATATAAATATATTAATTTAGGATCAAAGTTTTGAATTATTTAATAAAAGGATTTTTTTTATAAAATTATTATTCATTTTTAATATCAATTTATAATATAATTATTACTAATTTATATTGAATATTTTGTATGTATTTAATATTTATAAAATGAAGTTATATTTATTTAAGCTAAAAAATTAGGGTTAGTAAAAAAAAAACGCGAATGATCGTCACAAAAATATAAAAAACATAAAAACAGCAGCATGTGATGTTTATACGATCGTGAAATATCACGCGATAAACATTTAAGAAAAGCTTTCCCATGTTTAACTGAAACAAATTCCTTTCTTCTCTCACAAAAACACATCAACAAAAATGATTTCAAAGCTAGCATTTGAAACTTTACAACACATTTTTAGTTTTATTGAAGATACTAATACGTTGTATTCTATTATCCGTGTAAATCGTTCTTGGTGCGTAAATGGTATCAAATATTTATGGAGAAATCCCTTTACAGACGATATTCAAAATGTAGACAAACACACAAAAATCTTACCCGTATTCATACCTATTCTGAGAAAAGACAAAATTTTAGAATGGAAGAACAGGGGAGATTGCATGAATGAAACAATGCTACTTACTAAATTTGTATATCCTAGTATCATTACCCATTTGGATTACGATAACCTTTTTAGAATTATCTCAGCATATTACAAAATGAATAAAGAAGATGTTGAATCTTTTGTGGATTTTATGGAAAATCAATTCAATGTTTTATTTAATCTACCTCAGCAAACGGCAGAATCATCATCTTTAACTAATAACGAGGATGATTTTGGATTAAGGAAAATCTTGTTTGTAACTTCAATTATTTTGACAACTTTAGGGATAGGCAGAGCAAACATTAAATGGCTTAAAATCAGTTTCAAATACAACGATATTAAGGAATTTCTCAATGATGATGATGATGACAACAATTATGATGATATTGATGACGACTATGAATTAGATATTTCAAGGATTAAAAAACGTTATGACGTAATTATGAAGATTGAAGATATTCTTTGTGATTTCTTGAAATTTGGAAAAGACTCTGTTGTGAATTTAAAATATTTGGAATATGGAAAGTTAGCTTATAAGCTTCCTATTTTGGATATTTTGTCAGCAAGTTGCAAACAGATAGAAACTATAAATATTCAAGAAAAATTTTTTCAGTTGATTCGAAATCCAATTGTAAACTTATTGAAAAATCAAATCAAACTTAAAGATTTACAGCTTATTGGATCGAATCATTCGATGAGGTTAAATTATGATGAAACTATTTTTGAAATGATCTCAACATTGGAAATATACGCACAGTCTCTGAAGATTATAACATTAAGTGGAATGTATGTAAATAACGATGAAGCATTTAAATTTTTCGGCAAATGTAAAAATTTGGAGTGCATGAACTTGGAAAATTTATGTATTTCATTCAAAAATTTTGAATGGATTTCTTCGATGGAATTTCCAAAATTATGGTCTTTAACGTTATTAAATGTTTATTGCGATAATGAACTTAACGGACAACCGAATCCACTTCAAGGAATTTTTCAAAACAAAACGTTAACACCCAATTTGAAAGTACTTAGTCTCCTATGCGTTTGCATAAATCATGATATTTTAATATCAATTGGTGAAAATTATAGAAATCTTCGCTTATTTTCTACACAAATTACTGCGGATGGCGATATACCATATTTATTTACTATCCTTAATAATTCCCCAAAACTTGAAGAGCTTCACTTGGTAATTCCACAGGAAAGATCTTCTGACGTTAACAATAGGTTCATCGGTGATTTAGCAAAGAATTTACCTTGTCGAATTAACGCGTTGCAATTTTCAAACATAATTCGCAACATTGATGAATATCGAAGCTTTTTGGAGAATTGCGAGGTGAAATTAAAATACTTTCATCTCAACTTTTTTGTTAGTAGTTATAATACTAGGGAATTTAAGCGATATATTCGCAGATGGTCTAATGAAAAGGGGAAGGTTATATTGAATTATTATATAACTTCTGATAAATTTTATGTTTTATGGAAATAATACTCTGCTTTTTTAAACCTTAATTTTTTTTATCTCAGCTAAAAGATAAAGTTCGCATTTAAATATTTGGAATTTTTTTTTAATAGTTTATGTATTAATTAATACTTGCGTAAATAAAATACTACCATATTTTGTCGCTGTATCTTGTTCTCCTTTTATCTCTTTTTCTGGAGCTTGTTCTTGTTTTATTTTCTCCTTCTTGAGCTTGTTCTAGATTTTTTATCGGAACTTTCCCTTGTTTTATTTGCTTTACGTGGCTTAATCTACCTTTCTCAATTGCTTGGCTATTGCGTTTTTTATTTATTTATCGTGGGTAGAGCAGTATTAGGAGTTTTATTAACAGAAAGAATATTTTGTAAATTTTTGATTTTTGAAAACATCGTTAATGGCAGTTTCTTGGTTTGACAGTTTTTTCATTATGTTATGAGTTGAACCTTTTTGAAAATTTGATATGATCCTCAAAACTTATATATTCAATAATGCAAAATTTGAAGTCTTATGAAGGAGAAGAGACAACCACGTTTATACATAATAATACTACCATTTTTAAGCTAAATCTAATTCTCGAGATTTTAATATGAATTCTTTATCATCATCATCATCTAATATGGTTTATGGTAGGCTTAGATACTTTTTTTGTCAGAAACATGTCAGCTACTTTTCACAATATGCCATTTTGTTACGCAATTCTGCAGCACTTATACATTGGCTTGCGCAATTTTACAGCGCAATTTTACATTTCACATACCAAACTTTTTTGCATTTTCAACCACTTGTTCTAATGGTTGCAATGCTTGTATCTTATCTGAAAATTCATTACTATCCAAGCATGCTTCTTCACCTTCTATCCAAAAAGTGTTAAAAGGGGATTCATCAAATATATCAGGTTCGGCATCTGATTAGCTCATCACATTGTAATAAAGTGACTTTTTGCTTGCTTCTAAACGCTTCCTGATAGCTTATTTCATTTTGGCATTGAAATGCTATTAAAGATATTACAGTAAAAAAAATAAAAGTATCGATGATGTGAATCATGTGATATAAATTTGACCAATAAAATTAAGATTTAAATATGGTAGCGATCGGCATAAATTTAAGCGGCCATTTGATAATTCAAAAAATTTATTACAAAAATAAATTCTAATTACTTGACTAATTTTATTAATATCATTTTTTCTAATAAAATTATTTTCCTTAATCTTAAAGTCTTTTCACTTAAATTCTAATTCATTCATATTTGAAGCATGGCAGAGAAAATTTATGTTTAAGCAATTCAAATGCAATGATATTTTGTATGAAAACTTATGTAATATAAAGATAATACATAATATCATAAAAACAAAAGGAAGTTCAATAGTAAAATATAAGCAGTAGTAGAACTACATTCAATAGAAAAATAAAGTATAATCCAGTAGTAAAACAAAGCGTAATTTAGAAGTAAGAAGTAAAATAGTAGAACTAAAGTAAATATTAAGTATTACATAGTAAACAATTAGATTATTTATCACAGATAGTTATTATAATCACTTTTACTATGTAAATTTACTATATAAACCCTTTGAATATGATTAAAGAATCAAGTTTGATTTTTTCAAAATAAAAAAATATATATTTTTAATAAATAAATTTTTAAACACAAATAAAATGAATACTTTTATCTAAAATAATTAGTTGTTAAACAATAAAGTCATGAAAGCAAATAAAATTATTTTGCTTATATATAAATTATAAATTAGAAAAATAGTAAAGAAATTAATAAAAATAAAGAATTATTTTATCAAAGTTATAAAGATAAATGAATAAAAATAATTTAAGAAAGTATAGGAAGAATAACAGTAATGACAGAAAGAATTATAAGAAAAAGTAAAGATAATATGAAAAAGAAATACAAATATAATGATAGTAATAAAAAAAATACAATAAGGAATAAAAGGAAATATTTAAATAAAAATAACATTGTAAAGAAATTATAAGAAGAAATTAATGCTCAAAGTATAAGAAATGAATTTTTAGCAATTAAATATTAATTTGTTTAACAAATCCTCTTAATAATGAGTAACAGAAATAGTTAAGAAAATACAAGTTATGTTAAATATTACAAATTCAAAAATGTTATATATTTGTAAAACAAAGATTATGGCAATTACAATATGATGTTTATTATTAATGCTTATTTGAGATGTTTTAAATAAAAAAGAATATGATTGTCAAAATAAATGAAAAAACTATATAATAAAGTGGAGTTTGTAAGGGTAGTGATTAGAGGCATAATGGCAAAATATAAGTATTTTTTGCATGCATTTCATAAATTCAAAGACACTTTTGTTTCTAATAAAACTAACTCAAATTTTATTTAATCACTATGTATATTAATATTTTACAATTAATAATTGATTTATTAAATAATATTGCTTTAAAATTGACATTTTTCTTAAGATATTTGTTATTGGCTTATTATTTTATACCGATATTAATCAACATAATATAGTAATATTGTTACATAAAATTTTCGTAATATACCAATAACTTGCTTGATATACAAATATTTTTTTCTCAAAATAGCTGTATCTGTATTAGTTTTTAAAACCTCGATTAAAATCTTAAATTCTGACCAAAATTACAATATTACCTGATGACTTTGTTTGCACAAATTCAAACTCCATTGGTTCATTTCTGAATGTGAACAAGGTCCAATCACCAAATACATATTCTTTCACGGTTTATTAAGACTATGCGCTACTCGTAATATTCATATTGGCACGATTGATCAATATTAAAATATTAGTATGTTATTGAACTTGTTAAACGTGGCTATATTGAAGGCGCATATAGTTACAGTACCTTTTAATAAATATAATAAACAATTTATTTCAATTACATAAAATTACAATCTAATAAACTACTATCCTTCGAAGCTTTGGTATTCTACCCTTTTTATTATTAAATCCATTTCAATAGATTTCAATATGAACAAATTAATTGCTAGTTTATATAATGATTATAAGCAATTATTACCCGGAATACTAGAATTACTGCATGCAATCAATCCTTCGCTACGTTCCGGACTAATAACTATATCTGATATTGAGAATTAAACGAATATAACAACCATGAATCCCTATAAAAAATGTTGATCCGTGTTTTGTTTTTCCGTGAAGGGGCTCATTTTCACGGAAATTTACGTAAGCCACGGAGAAATAATGGAAATATTCGGACGAATATTTTTATAGGGAATTTGACAAGGTAACCTAAACGTACATTCAATTATTGATTATTAATGCATTTACACGTAAAAAAAAAGCAATCAAATGATATTATTATTTATCACATTATGGTAATTTAGAACAATTCATTTATAATTACTAATTATAAATTAGTCAGCTATAGGAAAGGTAAAGAATAGAATTGAAGGAAATGATCTTTCACATGTTTTAATCTATTGCACCATTGCAATTGATGTTGTTGACAAGGCGTGTAACCTTTTAATTATCAACAATCGAACAAACCTTATTCTATAAAATTATAATTATGAACAAGATGGAGAACGAAAAACGATACCCTATCATTCGAAAATATGGAAATAAACGTGATCATATGATCTGCGTAAATTATTCGAAAAGGAAAGACCATAGAATTGTTGATAAATTAAGTTGAACTTGTTTGTTCAAATTTCATGATGTGTCACTTAGTATGGATGAATTTATAATGTTAGACTAGAGAATATAAATCAAAACTTTGTGTAAGACCATGCGATTGTTAAGGAGCAATCTTTGAACTAAAGGACGGTTAGACCAATTAAGTATTGATGTGAAAACTGCGCATCATTTATATTGTAACTTATTTTTAGCAAATACGAAAGATTAGCAAAAAAAATTCCTTTATATCCAACACTAAATTTAGCAAATTTATCAAAGTATAAATTTCATATAATATTCGGAAAGATATTATTTTTTAAAAAGAGCAATCAACGCGATTGTAGAATTGCCGTCGAAAAAAAAGTTTTTTTATTCTGATTAATACAAATTCCTTCATAATAAGTATCACGTCGATATTGTTCCTTCGAATATGAAGTACGATATGTACGCGTAATTATCGCTGTTACACATTGTAAGGATTTTTTAAAAAAAAAAATTTATTCTAAAATTTATTGTATTTTAAAAAGTTTATTTTATTTGTATTATACTATACACATATATTTTATTGGTTACATGAAACAAAGAAAATAATATATATATATCGGTTCAAATACTCGATTAGATAAGACCCGTTACATTTGGTACAAAATACAATTATTTTGGGTGAATGCGCGTCATAAATCCCTTTATCTCATTTAAAAAAGGATAATAAAAGAAACAAATGCAAATTATTTAATTATTTGTAAAACAGATCGAATAAATGAAAGAATTGACCGAATAACTTGCCTTATAAAATTTACTGTACTTGGTTGAGCGGAGAAATTTTCCGAATGATTTTACCTTGTGAGACGTTGGTAATGGATTAGTTCACGTGTTAATTTATATTTATCAAAACAGAAGGAGATTCCCAAATAAATTATTTTATTAAAATTATTCTTATGAACACAAACAAAGAAAATTCTTATTTGTGAGAAAAAAATACATGGAAAGGTTTTCGAGAATTGAGTTTCTAAATGATTTTGGATTGTTTATGAGTCCAGTGCCTTCTTCATAAGTTAAAAAACTCGAAAAAAATCAAGAGGTAATATTTGTGGCTTAAACTTCTAAATTTGGATAATATTTTGTTTGAATGGAAGAAAATTTCTAACAGAAAGAATCCTAAAAAAATTTATACTCGAAATTTTTTTTTTATTTATTGTGATTTAATCAAAAAAAAAAAAAAAAATTATTTTATCATCATTACCAATCATATCGTAACGTATTTAAAACCAACAAAAAAAAAAACAAAACAAACAAAACTTCTGAAGGTTACACCCAAATCTTATAATTTAGCTTCATATGTAAATAGGATGCCAAAAGAACTATTCGATTGGTAATATAAATAGCGATGATCGTCAATTTCTGGACTAACACTAAACCATTGAAATTTGAACTAGTATATGTGTTTCTTCTATACACCGAATAAGTTGATAAATTGAAATAAAAGTCATGGAATAGTTTTTTTTAGCGAACAATTTATCTGCTAATACGAGAATGGTTGGATATTATACCGAAATGAGCTATTAAAGGAAAAAACGTTATAAACATGAAAAATTTTTTCATTAATATATAAACTACCAATTAATTATCTTTTACTTTTTTTTGATAACTGATAAAAAATTTCGAGTACGAATTCAAATTCTTTAAAAAGATAATCACAAAAAGAAAAAAATATGACAACTCAAAATTTTTCGATAGAGGATTTAGCGATATCATTAATCGATAGGTTGGACAGAAGAAACATCTTCCCACCACAATATAATAATCCTGAAACATTTATTTCTACAAATACAAATAATTTATCGTTAAGACGACCGAGACGACCTCCTAATGCTTTTTTACTCTGCAGAAAAAATGTTCACCAAGAAGCAAAACGTAAAGGAACCTGCAATATGCGTGTTATAAGTAAAGTTACTGGTATTTTATGGAGAAATGCATCTCCTGAAGAGAAGGGAGTTTATGAGAGACTAGCCGATCGGGTAAATGAAATTCATTCTAAAAGAACCACGATAATTTATAAACCGGCCATAGGCTCCTCTTCCTTTCCAAATAAAGCTCGATCTAGTTATAAACCTTACATGTATCCTTCACAGTTAAATGTACCGTCAGTAGTTCCTTTAAATGCTCCTTTATTACTTCCCGTTCCTAACCCATCACATTCTATTACTCAACCTTCATTAAATATTTCTCCCACTTTTGATCAAGAAGAGCACCTTTTCCAAAACAATCCATTAAATAATACCATAAATCATTTTAATCCTTTGGAATTCAACAATCAGGTTCCAAATGATGATCATAATTTCTTATCTTTATTTTATAATAGTATTTTAATGGCTCCATCATCTTTTAGCTAGTTTAGATTTTTTTTTCCCCCCTCGGTACGTTTTATTATAAATACATATATTCTTTTAAATATTTTTTTGCATGTTTTTTTTTTTTCACTTTTTACACATGTATAGATGAGCATTCTTCTCTTATTCTTATCGTCGGAATTATGAATAAAAATAAAAAGAAAGAAAAAAGAAAAAAAAAATACTTAACTATTACGCGTTATGCTACCTTAATTTGCTGTGGCATTTTTATTGTAATATACAAAGTTTAAAATAAAATATTCCACATATGACTTTAACCATAAATTACCTAATATTTGTAAAATTATTTTACATATGCGGAACAAATGCGGTAATGCATTTCTACAAAAAAATTCCTTAATCATAACGATCACAAGGTTTATCATTTATGATAACGAATTAATTAATTGATTTCTCATGACTTTTTGAAACTACAAGAAATCACTTCTGACGATCCCATTTTATCTGCATACTAACATTAATCATATCTTTCTTGTATTCCAATTATAGAACGTTACCCAACCAATGATAAATGATTTCTATAATTGTCGAAAATTTTTTTTTTCCTATTAATATCTGACTTTTTGAAGACAATCTAATATTAGAGTAACCAATAAGAATGCAAAGTTTCATAATTACCAAAAATAGTTTTTAACTTTTTAAAGATAAGTGTTTTTCATGCAAAAAAAAAAAAATATCCGGACATTTTCTAACATAATTGAACTTAGAACCGGTTCGGAAAATTAAAAAAGTCGTTGATGTGGCGCAATTACTGAAGCTGAATATTGGAAGGGAACCCCACATTGATGTTGTTTGACCATCATTATAAAAATGCTGATCATTTTCATTTTCAAAAAACGCGTCAGGATTTAGTTCAAGCAGGAAAAAGTGGTTGATAATGACTGAATTATAAGTGAAATAATTATGATTCGCTTTCGGATATTTGGATTGATGTTTTATTAAATTTTTATTTTCTTTTTTAAAAAAATATCAACAAAATTTTTTATTCCCTAAAAAAGCACAGGTTTCTGGACGACAATGTCCAACAAAGTAACGGATCTGTAAATTCAATAACGCGGAATATGCTAAACTATAAAAAATCTTTTACGATTATTTACATGGACAAATGAAATACAACTAATCTACATCTCGTAAATATCTCTTCGAAGTACCCGTTTAAAGTCTTTAATCACACCATCATTCTTGTATTTGTTTATAACCTTTCTATATTGTTCTATTTCATAATGAGAGTCTGATACAAAAATAGAAAATGCACGTCCACTCCAATTCTCTAAAAGTGTCTTCAATGATCCCAATGAAAGTTTAAAATTATAATATCCATCAAGTCGAAGATCTTTTAGATTAGCTGGAGCCGATCTAATCAAAACTTCTGATAATTCTTTTCCGGATTCCAGCATTCTATGATTAAATTCTTGTGAAAAGAAATCGTACCTTTCATTGGTAATTTTAATATTTAATGTTAACACCTTCAAGTTTTGACAAGTTTTTAGCAATTTTTCGAGTTCAATGAAATGCATCTTTGATGATGTGAATGTAAGTGACAAGGATTCAACCAAAGGACATTTCTCAGAAATTGCCCGAATAAGAATAAGTGATTCCCCGTGAAAGTTATCATCAGGATGGCAATCCAAGGTTGAAATTTTCTTGAGATGCTTTCCACTGTTGTTAATTAAACAAGCAATTGTACTGTTCGTTGTATAATTTATTTGAACGACCTCAAGGTTATGATAGACCGATTGCTTCAATTGTTTATTGAGTCCATACGAGGCCGGATCAAGCTTTAACATTTTTAAATTACGAAGTTCCGGAAGTATCCTTGACAAATATTTACCATAATTCACTGATTCATTAAAGTTCGCTATAAAGTGAGTAATATTATGTGTCTTTTTATACAATGCCAGAAATATCTTTTCATAATGAACTTCCTTTATATAACTATCATCAAAATCGTCAATCCACTCAAAATGTTTTAAATCCATCTGATTCTCGATTATTTTTGCGATCCCATCATTAGCTATGATGTCCGTGTTGATGATGATGAGTCGTTGTATGTGATGGCAGATTTGCGCAAAACCATGTAAATAAGTGGAAGCGATAGACGTATCACATCTCAATTCGCAAAGTGATTCAAGACGAGCCTTTGCCTCTGGAAAATAAAATATTTGATGCCTAATTGAGCTTATATCCAAGTACTTTACCTCTGGAAATTTACTTATAAAGAGGCTGTAAATTTCTTGTTGTAAAAGGTATTGGTTATGAGCTAATGATGAACCGATGGATATTATGTCGTTTATAACGCTTGCATTGATACATCTGCAGAAAGACAAATAATCGAATAACAGCGGTTGACATGAGGTTGAAAATAGGATTCTTTTCCTCTTTAAAAATTTCTTGATATCATTAGATAAAGAGGAAGTGATGACATAGTACAATGAACTTCTGTTTCGATAAATTATGTTTTTCCACGGATTTTTCCATAAAATCGGAATTACGGTTTCGCACCAAAGCCTATTAACTAATAGACATGAAAAGAGAGATGTTGAGTCTTCAAGTAATTCTTCAAATAATAGGTAAAGAACATCTTTATTGAGCTTGGACATTTTTAAAAAAAATTGAATTTAATAAAATTCCGCAGAAGTTACACAATTGCGGCGGGTTTGAAGAAAAGTGTCGGTGCTTATTTATATTAAATTTAGCTCTGCTGCGCCAAAAATTTTGACAATATATATGATTGGCTAATTTACAAAAATTACTTCTCAAATGTGGGTTATTTTTCAACATGGTTTCGTAGCCCATATCTTTTTTCGATTTAATTGTTTGAGTTAGTTTAATTTTACACTAATAACCGTTCATGGATTGAAATGAATCCTTAATGTTTTCGTTGCGTTGAAAGCTTAATTAAAAGTCAATTTTTTTAAGTTAAATGGATGGCATAAATTTTTTCTCGTCTATAATTAACCTTCAATTTACCAAGGAAATACCGTTATACAGTGGCGGTCAAAAGTAATGCATCGCCGAAATGAAAAGTGTAAAATGATGATTATTTGCGATACAATGCTCATAGCGTCACAAAAATATTTTATTTTAATTTATTAACAATAAGTTTATTATTTTGTAAAAAAAATTGCAATACATTAATAAAATAAAAATAAAAAAATTTATTAATATTTTGACCGCTATTTAAAATGTTTTTATTTATATAATAAAATCTTCAAAAAAACCCCAAATACACAAAAGTTTGGTAAATTGCCGTTTACCACCCTGTATAACCTCCATTCGCCCTAATAACATCATTTATACGAGCTGGCATGGTATCAACCAACTTTTACACATCATTCCCTAACTCAACCATACTTGATCCTGTGTTCTAACAGGTGTTTCTAAACGTCTTAAACTTGGATTGAGGTCAGGTGATTGTGCCGGCCAATCAAGCACCCTAATTGCATTATCTTCAAACCATTGTTTTGTAAGGTGTGCAGTATGTTTTGGGTCATTATCTTGTTGGAAAATAATATTATGTTTATCCATCCCATGCCATTTGATGGTTCCTAATATGTCTTCCTCCAAGATTTGACAATATAAATCACCATTCATATGACCATAAATTCGGCATATGTTACCAATGCCACCAGATGTAAACATTCCCATACTATAATACTACCCCACCCAAATTTTACTGTAGTGATCTATTAAGGTACTCCTATAATATTCCCTGCCATCCGATCCATATATCATAAATTTTGACTTGTCTGATCAGATAACTTTGCTTCAATCTTCTGATGTTCATGATTGATATTTTTTTGCAAATTTCATACGAGCAATTTTATGTGTTTTTTCGATATAAGGTTTTTTACTGTACTTTCTATTTGCTCTTCGATTTTAAGATTTTTTTAATAACAACTGCATTGATACACTTTTCTGTTGTAATACACCGCAAAGTTTTCGCTCATTTTATCCTGTTAAGAGTCTTGAACATCCAGATTTAGGTTTATCTTTGAAAGTGCCAGTGGTGTCTTATCAAACCCGTAAAAACTCGATGGTGAATAAAACCAAATTATCTCACTCTTCTTTTAATAAACACGACTATTAGAATTTTTCTTCTCATGTAAAACTTGAATATTTCGTGGATAATTGCTTACAATATATTTATATCCTATTTACAAAATAATATAAGATATACAGTGGCGGTCAAAAGTAATGCATTGCTGAAATGAAAAATGCAAAATGGTAATACAGGTGATCATGGTAATACAAATTCTATTTTAATAAATTTGTCATATCAATCTCATCCATCTTTTTAAAAATATCTTTAAAAAATATTGAATTTAGGATCTAGGTTTTAGAACTAGGTCCTAAATTAAGTTCTTTAAAGAATTTTTTTTATTTTAAATTAATAAAAAAAATTATTTATAATAATAATTAAAAAAATAAATTTATTATTAAAAAATTATCTTTAAATTTATTAAGACAAATTAGGATTTTAGAACTTTACCAATCTACCATTTATACAATTATATGAAAATAATATATATTTATTGATGTATTTCTAAGATAAATAATTAACTATAATAACTATTTTAAACTATTTGTTTAATTTGTAATATAAATAATAATATTATTACATTTTACTAATTTAAAATAAATTTTCTTTTCATATTATATAATATCTTACTCTATCAAAAAAATCTTCTTAATAATCTATTGATATTTTATTAAATATTTCAAATTTAAGAATATTCAAATTTTTTAATTATTTTTTATCAATAAAAAAATCAATACCATATATTTACTATTATTAATTTCTTCTAATTTAATTATTCTAGAATATAAAGTATCTCATATTACTCTAATTCAAAATTTTTATACATATTAAATAATTTTGTATTTTTAAACATTTCTTGATAAAATTAATTTATAGTATATATTTTATTATATAATGAATTTATTTTATATATTTTATTTAATAACTATAATAAATATATATTAAAGTATTGTAATAATTTTTTATTATAAAAAGTAAGTAAATCAATTTCTGATTATATATTATTTAAAAATTTTTTAAATTTAATAAATTTTATAGTAATATATAAAATTTAAGATTTTTAGATAAGAACAATTAATTATATGGGACTTATCAATAGAAAAGGATTAAATCTAAAAAAAATTTAATTTTTATTTTATATATTATGATTTTTTAGTAAAATAAGTTTAGATTTAACAATAACTTATAAAAACTTTTTTTTAGATTTTCTTTCTTTCTATTAATAAACTTCCATATGTTTTTTTAATAGTAAATAGTAATATCTACCTAAATCCTTTTTTAAAAGTAATTTTATCAAAAGAATTCATCTTTTTATATTTTTATATAAATAAATATAAATTATTATATATTTTTAATTCAAAGAATTTAAATAAAGTTAAATATAATTTGATAATTTAATAAAATATTTTTATCATTTATAAAAAATTATTTTATCATTTTAGTTTTGTTAAGTTTCATAATATTAAGAAAGTTAGATTTAAAATGCATCACTAATCATTATGATTAGAAAAAGCTTATCTAATTATATATTGTAAGATTTTTCTAAATGCATTCTCTTAAGATCATAATAAAAATTTAAAAAAAATATGTATCTAAAAAGAGTATGCATTTAAAAAGAGAAATTTTATATAATCTTTATATACTTAAAACTATGTAGAATATGCATATAAAAAAAATATATAATGCATGCATTTAAGAAAGATGCATTTAGAAAAGTTTCACCATATTAATTAATCTAAGCATTCAATAATCAACTATATTTTATTTATCAATAATAATATATTTTATATTTTGCAACTTATTCTATAGCAAATTCAGTTTTCTTTATTTATATAAAGATATTATTATTAATAATTAAATAGTGTCAAATAAACTATTATTTTTTAGATATTAAATATTATAACTCCTATTAGTATAAGAAGCATGCTAAAATCAGCTGATTATTATTTTTTTTAGTAATGCTAAAAGCAGGATCAATCCATAAAGTTTTGATCTTCTAAAGGAATTGATAGTCATAGAGATCATCTAAGATCTTCTTATAGGTTAGCACTATGATTTAAATAAAATAACCAATCTATTTATTACACTATCTCAGATTATACTATCTACACTATTAGCTAAGGATTTTTCCTAAAAGCAATATCCTGTGTGTCTTTTTTAGAAGGCTATTTATATAGGAAACTAGCAATTTAGGTAACTATCAAATTTGAATAGAAGAATCACTTAAAACGTATAAAAATATTATATCTATATTTATTATATTTATTCAACTAATACTATAAAATTTATAGGATATTATCACAGTAAAATATTTTGCAGTCCTAAAGTTTTCTAATTGGTCTTGCATGTTTGGGATTGGATAACTGTCAGTAATAGTGATTGCATTTAGGAGTCGGTAATCAACACAAATTCTTAGATCTCCTGTTTTTTTTAGTATGATTACTATTAGAGAAATCCAGGGACTTTCAGAGGTTTAGATAATTCCTGTTTCTAACATCTTATCAATTTCTTTTTCTAAGAAATCTTTCTCTCTTGGTTTAACCTATATGATGGATGAGCAATAGGTCTAACTCCAAGTTTAAGTGGCATTTGATGATTTATATATGGGGTTTGTCCAATGTCAGTTTCTCCAGTTGAGATAATTTCTTTTGAAATAAGAGCTTTGACAATGACTTGTTCTATTGTTTCATTTTCTTCAACATCAGCTATATAAAGATTTATAAATTCTTCTTCATTATAAGGCTATTCAATACATTCTAATTCATTTTTATCAATTTCTGAATCAGAATGGATTTTCCTTTCCTCATTTTCATTTTTAATTTGAAAGAGATTCGTTTCAAAGAGAGTTTCATTCTCATACTCTTCCTCTTCACTTTTAGCTGTGTTGGCTAGTATTCTGAAATATGGTTTTACTTCTTCAATGCATTTTATCGACAATTTTACTAATTGGTTCTGGATTTTTGCTTGCAATTCATTTTGATCAAAGTACATTCTAGCATCAAATGTTTTGAACCAGTTGATTCCTAATAACAAAGTAACTTGTGATAATTCAATTACTTGTAAATTGACAGTAAATTTAACTCCTTATAGAATCAAAGAAACTGAAGTAATAATTCTTAATGATCTTTTCTTTGTCCATCAGCAGTTACTATCAGGATATCAGATGACTTATTTGGCTTAATTTTCAATTTATTGGCCAAAGTTATTGAAATAATATAGGCAGTAGCTCCTGAGTCTAAAATTACTTCAATAGGATTTAATTTGTATCGCATAATACATCTGACGGCAGTATATTTATTATTATCATTAACATGAATCTGTGCAATATTAATTCCAATTTCTTTTTCTATTTTGTTGATTTGATCTTTTAATTCTTGTAGATACTGAAGATTTCGGAATAGTTATCTAAAAGTTACATTAGCATCATGTTTTCCTAAATCTTAAATAATATTATAGGATTATTCATAATATGAAACAAATCTAGCTTGAAGGACAAGCTTAGGGAATCAAAGGAAATTCGTATCCTTTGTTCTCCTCTTGACTCAGTTCTAGAAAAAATTCTTGTTGTAGTATATACTTCTTCATCTTGTCCCGTTTGCTCTATTTTAATTAACTTAATATTACGTTGTTGTAGTTTACCAGATGATCGGTATAGTGTACAATTTTGATTTTGATGTTAGTTTTAATTTTGGAATTTTGGTTGGGCTTTTACAGGTGTTTCTGATTGAAATTCTCTAACAAAATGTCCTTCCTCACTGCACAATTAGTTCAGGTACTTCTACAAATTATATTTGCCTTACAAATGATAGTTGTAAACAACAATAATGTGAGACAGGTACAAGTTAATCGTGCTGAACTCAACCTGGTAAAACCAAACTATTTTCATGGACTTGATGATGAAGACCTTTTCGAATGGATCACCTCTTTTAATCGAGCTGCTACTGCAAATCAATAGAATGATAACAGAAAAATATCCATTGCAGCTGGATATTTAAGAAATGCCGCAGCCAAATGGTATGATAAAAATCAAGGAAATTATCAAGAATGGCATGTACAAGGAAATCCTAATAGCTTTGTAAATGCATTCTTAAACTATTTTTCCAATACCACCATGAAAAATAGATAGATGTCTGAGTCAGAAATGATTAGACAAAATCCTGAACAAAGTGTATCTGATTATGCCCAGAAGTTTAAGATGTTAATGCAACGAGTTGATATCACTAGAGGATTTGGATAACATTATATTATTAGTAAATTTATTAGAGGATTATCACTCCTATAATAGTTAGTCATAGTCTACAATCTTTAAATGCAGCTATCACTAAAGCTAAAGAAATCGAAACTAGATTTACTATTATCCAACCAATCTAATAACAGCAAGTAATGTCAATCAAATGGAGATTCTACAACAACAGGTTGTACAATTAACTGCAAATCTGGCAAACATCCAAGTCCAATCAAATCCACAACCTAGATGAAATCAACAAAACTAGCAAAATTAACAAAATATAAGCTTTCAAACTCATCGAACTAATGAATGCTGGAGATGCATTTTGATTATTTTGATTACCACTTTGAGCAAATTGATTAAATTAAGAAACATTTTGTTGAGGTTGTGCAGTTTGAGTTTGTTGAGGTTGTGGTTGTCCAAATCCCATTCCGGTTGTTTTAAAACTAACTTCAATACTACTATTTACAGTAGTAATAGCAGTGTTAAATCCTGTTAATTTAGGATTATTAGCTACTTTACTCCATTAAACATTTGCTGTTATTGTGACAGTTGGTTGTTGAGAAGGATTATTACTTCCTGATGCAATACTAGGAGTTCCTGTAGTATTTCCCCCAGATATGTTATCAAAGTGATTCATTGTAAAACTAGACAAAGTATTGGCTTTGAAAATTTGAGTAAAATATGTGACCAGTTGTATTCTTTTAGTTATTGGGATACTAGTTGTTACTGGTAAAAGTGTGAAAGAACTATTTCCTATGATTCTGATTACAGTGTTATTGAATAAGTTGGATGATGGTGATTTTTGAAATCCTCCTCGTCCTAGGGTAAGTGAAATAGTATTATTACTAAATAAATCATTTCTAAAAGATTTTTCAGGTTGAGTTCCTACAACTATTTGAGAGGCTTCTTCTGATTGTTTCAAAGTTAAATTTAAAGATTGAACAGGTAATTCTTGAGAATAATTAGTTGGCAAATATTCAGATTCAGAGTATAGATTAATAACACTTAAGGGTGGAAATTCAGTTTCTTCTTAAATGATAACAAGGCTTGTAAGATTTTGTCTTCTTTGTTCAACATTTGGGTAATATCCTTTGTTTGCTTCAGTATATGTAACAGTTTTTTCATCTGAGTCAAAGTTTCAAAAGTTTCAGGAATAGTTTTTAAATTAATTTGAGTAATCGTTTCTTCATTTGAACTTTTTTCAATAATAGGGTTAGGTTGAATAGTTGGAGAAGATGAGGTTGATTGAATTGGTTAGTTTTCGCTTGAGCTACCTGATACAATAACTTCTTGAGCATGTGCAATAGTGGTTTTGGTAGCAGACCAATATAATCTTCTTTTGTATTGGATAGAAGGATCTTGGTTGTAATTTCTTCCTGATCGAAGAGTTCTAAGTTTTGCAGGATTTAAGGAAGACGAGATGTTTTCTTTAGAAGAATCTATGTTGAATTCTTGATTAAATATATAGTTATTGACTATAACAGTTGTATTTGATCACTCTACAAAAGGTACACTTCCTTTTTCTACACAATTTGTTTTCACTAATAAGACTATTAATTCAGCAATTGAGGGCAGGCTAGCAACTTTCTTATATCTAAAACTTCTAATTAATGCAGAAACTTGAGAAGTTATAGTTCGTATAAGATCAATATCTTCAGGTTGTTCATTTAATTCTTTAGTTACTTATTGTAATATCTTAAACAAATCAAAGGTATATCCAGAATATCTATATGATCCAAATTGAATGTAATATCAGTATTGAAAGTCTTTAAAGTTATCAGGTTCGGGTAAATATAAGGGATAACAAATTTGATATGAAATATCTTTTTTTATTAATCTTTTAGGATCAATATCAGATTCGTGACTAAGGTTGTGTAGTTGGTTATCTTCTTTGAGAGTATTTAAATCCACTTTAATTTCTGTATACTTTTCTCTTTGTATTGGCCTAGCAGGAATCACTACTTTATCACTGAGAATAATCTTCTCTTATTACTTCACGTAATTTGTCTAAATTCCTTTACTGTGGTAAATAACTTCCTTATCATCAGACTTTACAACCTTAGGAAATCTTATATCCTACAAGTATCTGAAATGTCTTAGAATTACTTCACTTGATTTTATGAATTTAAGGGTTTAGGGACTTAGAAAATGTAGAGAATTTATTTATTCTAAGTGACGAACTCAATTACAAGTTAGTGTAATAGTTCACGATCAAATCCTAGATAATAGACACGTAGAAGGGAAAGTATTTTTATTTTAAAAGTTGATTCCTTTATTTATTACTTGAATTTATAATAAAACTGAAGCTCGCAATAGAGTTAATTTACAACATGAGCAAAAAATTATTCTATTTATACAAAATTAATTTGCTATGGCTAACTAATTGCTATGCTATAAACTAACTAAAATTGTAACTACAAGTGTTAATATAATAATGATAATAATTATAAGAAGAATAATAATTATAAAGATAATAATAAGTATAATAAAAATAATAAAAAAAAGAATAACAATAATAATTAAAATAATGAAAATATTGGAAATTAGAAAAATCTAACGAATCACGATAATTCGAAGAATCCAATAAATCCTAAGAATCTTACGAATCTTCAAAATCCTGTGGATTCTAAGAATCATCAAAATCCAGAATTTTACAGATCATTTGGCATAGTATTGGTCACGCTTATTACGTCATTATTCTATTGGTCACTAATGATCAGCGTAGTAAGATTGATAAGATTGATTTCAGATGTTGACAACGTAATACTATATAAGCATTATAGATATGTAATTATATGAAAGCTTATAATGTAGTACTTCATAATAATATTATATAAAATTTATAAATATACTAAAATTTTAAAAGTTTACAATGTAGTACTTTATAAAATTGCATTATAATATTATATAAAATTTACAATAAAAGAATTTTAAAGTTTACTTAATTTATATTATAAATTCATTTATAATATTTTATATTTTTCAATAAAATATGATTAAAACTTTCAGTTATATAATATTTTGTAAATTTACTGAATTTAATATACAGTCGTCCTCCTATATAGTCACCTCTTATATAGTCACATCTTCTCTTTAATCACATTGATCTACAGTCCCAATTTTTTTTATATATAAATGACTCCTATATAGTCACAAACATATTATAATCACTATCACATTAAAATAAAGTCCAAATA